TAAACCACAATTTAATTTAAATTTAAAGTTAGGTGGCCATATAAGTTATAAGTATTTTATGACTAGACCACACGTAATCAAAATATAGACACAACTTTTACAGCTTCCTTAGCTTATTTTTTCTCTGTCGTCATCTCCTTGACCGCAAGTGATTATATTCTATTTCTGTAACATCAAAGTCTTGGTTGGTATTGTAAGAAAATGGAGTGGACGCACCTGTTTTCTAGGAAGCTTGTTTGGGGAGACGTTTCGTTGGTCCTTACAAGCTGAAGTCATGTAAATTGATGAGTTTTATGACCTATTTCTATTGTTTGAAGGCCATAGTACTTATATTAACGTTTTCAGACATGGTTCTTATTGAGGCTGGTTTATGTATAATAATTTTAGGACCATAACGACGTAATACTGCAGACCAAGTTAAGACCAAACTTAAGGCAGACCCTGGCTAAAGCTGGGAAATTGCCAGGAAGAAAAGAATGACTTAATACTGCGTTCATTGCCAAATTTCAGCATAATACCTTCATATTCGGACCCCACACCACATCCGGTAGGTAATGGTGGATATTTTTCAAAGTGATTATTAGTGTTTCCCCGCCATACGTCTCTGATTTACTGAATGGTATGACAAATCACCTATTTTGCCGGTATTTTGGATGCCATAGTGATTTCTTTCTATTATATGAATCTACTATTTCAACATTCTTGTATTAGATGTACAATAATATTTGCTATTATATAAAAGACGTAATTAAAATACAAAAAACTAAATGAAAGGAAAGATAAATTATATAACGAGACTACGTAATGAATTTATAATATAATTATAATAATATAAAATAACCATAAATATATATAAAAAGAATGCTTATAAAAAGGAACATAAAACAAAAATCTATTTAATGAAGTCTCAAAATTTCCTCAAGAGCTATCGTTATTTACTTGATAATAAGGTTTTGGCGTGAAATGTAAAAAACAACATAAAAATAGGTCATGTATATAATAAAGAAATATAAAAATGGATACCTTAAAAAAGTATACATATTTTGTGATATAAGGAATTTAAATAAGTAAACTAATAATAAAAATACGCAGTAAATACGTAGTTTTTTACAAAAATAAAGCACGCGTAGCGGTATCCGAAAAATATTAGTTCCATTTAAATGAATATTCGCGCAAGTCTTAATAAAAATTGAGAGAAACTAATAGTGTAATTGATTAAATTTATAATAATATTCTAGACTAGACTGAAAAAGTTTCAAATTTTTTATTAATCAGATTATAATGAGCAAAATGAGATCTGAGATTTTCGCGAGTTATTTAAATGAAATTAATATTTTGCGGATATAGGTACTACGCAACTTCATTTTTGACAGACAGACACTCACATCTCATCTGCCCGTGACACGGTTGCTGTAAAGTAACCGAAACTTCGGGAGTATGTAGTTTTTATCAAAAATAAAGTCGCATAGTACATATATCCGAAAAATATTAGTTTCATTTAAATGAACATTTAATTTTCTAAAAATCGAAATACTTTGATGTCGAAGTTACTTAAATTAATTAACGTTATTACGAATTAATTTTTATTACAGTTTGAAGTGAGATCTTTAACCCCTGTAACTAATGAGAGTTGTGCAAATTTATATATAACATAAACTTAACGTTTATTACTAGGAGATAAGATTGAAAATTGCTTGTTTTTAAGGAGTCTGTATTTTAATGGTACGTGTCCCGTGATTTGAAATCAAAACGGAACAATGTTGCTATGTATACTTTGAATGTTTAAGTAAGGGTAATACGAATATAGTAAATGTATAACTCATCAAAGTAAATTCTTACTTATACTTTCCTGTTGCTATGGCATTTGTTGGAGCGTTTCTTAAATAAGCAAAAACGCGCGTTTTTATAGAATTTTATAAACATATTTGCTCATATTCATTGGAAGTTTACAAGTAAAGCGAAGTTTAAGATCGGTTAAGTTCGCTGAGGCTCGATTCTAATGAGAATGTAGATATTAAAAAACTTCTTCGTGTCATACAATTCTTGTGTAATGTATAAGAAGTTGGTACCAAAAAATCTAAAACTGGGTTGCACCAATTAAATGGGATGATTTACATATAAATATCCGAATAATATTATTGTGGGGTCACACGTGCCCGGGACCCCATCGGTCCTTAATTAAGGGGGCACATTGTTACACCATCGCTGTCTTAATTAACGGCAAGGTAGCGTAAGGTTATGTATTGAAGGCGTTTGATGTACCCCTCTCTAGTAAACGCTGTGTTACTAGCGCGACATTTAAATATATTAATATTAAATGTACGGGGAATATTGTCTGGTTGAATGTTTGTAAACATTTGGTATTGTCTCTGTTAATTCTATTTCAAATATAACCGTGAAAATTAACTTGTAACTAGGATAGTAAACGAAACTGAAGTTTGTGGATTTTAGGACTATTTTAGTGAAAAAAAAACGTATGAGAGTTTGTGACAAACTTAATAATTAATTAATTTGAAGGCAAATGAAAGTTATTTCTTAACAAATATTTGATTTAATTTTTTTTTAGATCTAGCAACACTAAATTCTTAATAGTCTCTATGATGGCAAGACCAAGAAAATTCTAATCATTCACCGTCCAGCCTCTCACTCACCGTCTAGACACGGAACGGAATTCTAATTAATACAGATTTATATACAACTATATGTATACACAGTTTAAATTCCTGCTCATACCTAACTCAGGCAAAACGTAGAGAAAGATCCCGAATACGTTAAACTTAAACACTTAACTCAAAATTACCTTAAGCTCAAACTATTTATCTAAACAGTGATACAATCTTTGTTAATCTGTAAACTCTGAACGTGAGACAGATATCTTGGGAACTTCACGCATACATCGTCTTTAGAATTAAACTTACACATTGCGACCACTTAAACTTTTCGTTCATCTTCTTCTACCTGGCAATTTCCCAGCTATAGCCAGGGTCTGCCTTACATGTTGTGAAAAGTTTTTGGCTATTTGTTTTTACGACCGGCCGCCTGCCTGACATCAACCCTCTTTTTGGGAATCAACATTAATCAGTGATGTCTAAATACTCTTAGAAAGTACATATGATTCGGAAAAATCACATTGGTAAAATCACCTTGCCCGGGCCAGGATCGAACCCGCGCCCTCGGCGACGAGAGGCGATCCCTTTAACCACTGAGCCACCACTGACTTAAACTTTTCCTTCATATCAAATTTAAATCATGTTATATTTGGATATGTCTAAACTTATAGTGGTCGTTATGATATCAAGAATGTATGCTTCATAAAAAAGTGTTTGCTGCATATTTAGTGACGAATTTTATTTAAAACAAACGCTTCTTTTATAGAATGAAATTTCAAAAATATACTATCTTCATCAAAAACTATTGAAACTAAATCAAATATGTTACAAGCTCTCATCTCTGGAGCTTACAATTAGCCTCTTCGGTCTTCAGATTACAGCGGACAAGGCAAATAGTCTGCAGTGGTCAGCTTGTTTACCAAGACGCCTGTACCCAGAGGCTGTTCAAATACTGTGTTCACGCCATCAACCATGTCTGTTGTTGTAGATTATAGATACATTGAGTAAATGTCTGGATTCTATTCTATATGTACCCTCAATTACCTAAATACTAATGAGGACTAGTCAGTATTTTTTAATGTATAAGATTTGGCATGTATTTATTCAAATGAAACTAAGGTTTTAATATATTACAATGCGTCTCTTTGTTATTAATTTACAACTACATAATCACGATGTTTCAGTTCATTTACAGCGACCTAAATCACTGGCAGACGAGATGATTGTATCTTAAATAAAAATCTTAGATATCATTGTGAATCATTATATACTGGACTATCACTAACAAAAATATACTTTAATTTTATTCTCCACCTGTTACATGAAGTAAGCTGGAAATATGACAACACAAATGTGTACAGGCCCTAAAAGACTTAATTTTTTTTCCCCATCAAAAGAGCTTTCAGCTAATAATTCGGAAAACGCAAAACAATAGCGCTTCCAATCAATTTCGCGCCGACAATCGAAATCCCATCGGGTTTGATCACAGCCAGACGGCCAAAAAATACATTCCAGTTGTTGCTTTTACGACTGAAGAGCATTTTAAAATACATACACTTCCCGAGTTATATATTATTACGAAATATTTGGAAATTAAACTGAAATTACAATAATAGAACCATTAGATTTGTCGCTAAATATATTTAAGAAACAAGACACAAATAGTTACATTTACAAAAACTATTCCAAGAATAACTTTAGTGAATTAATTCTATTGACAATTTAGTTTTAAATTTCTTTACTTTTAGGTGTAATAATAAATACAGTCTAGTTTTCTTGGCAATGGATGTATAATTGTTTAAATTTAAAGACTATAACAAAAGATGGATTATCTCCCCCGCACAGTAAACAAAGAATCAATCAGGCTTCAACCTTAGTAATATAAGGCAAACAGTTTTAATGTAACAGTCATTATAATCTCCAAATTAATCTATGGATTCCATGGAAATTGCTTCGGGGGCGAGATTTGGAATTGTTTTAACAAAATTGCTAGTTTAAAGGGTTTGTTATTATGAAGGAAATTAATATTTTGATGTGTTTTTCAATTAAGCTATATAAATTTTTCATTATTGTGCTAATGAGACGTAATAATATGTATTATCGTATGTCATACTTATGTATGTATATTTGAATATATTGCAATTTAACGTACTTTAGTTTGTTATTTATCTATATATAAATAAATTTATTTTACTCATTAAACTGATCACACTGAAACTTATTAAAAATATCATACATTACATCAAAATAATTTAATATTTATATATATACAATTCATTTAGATAGTATGTTTATGTTCAAATGCATTCACTGCTATTTAACCAATCGTGGTCGAAGCAAACTTAGATCTCAAAATATTTAAATGTAAATAATATTAGTAATATTATTTACCTTTATAAGCTTGTTCTGTAGTTTCGTCACAGCCATCCTCTCCCTCTGAGTCCTTCTCTTCTCTTCTTCGAGCTGGTCTTCGAGTTGCTTTATACGTTTTTCGAGAAGTTCCTGTAATTAATAAAAAGCGAATTAAACTGAGAATGAATCTTCATTAAATAGCAGAGGTAATTTATAATGAACGCACTGGAAATATATATTTTTTTTTCTATAAAAAATACGAGGTATTTGGTCCACTTTTTTAAATATAAGCAATTTTACTTTTAGACTTTATTTAACTTTATATTCTAAAGTATACAACCCTCCGTTTGCTTTGTCTGAATTATGGTTCGAGGAAATTGTTTGCTCAGAGTTACCCGGATGTGACGTCGTTTCTCCTGCGCCATAAACCGGAAGCGCTCCGACTTGACTTAATTTCACAATGATATTAAATAATTATTGATAATAATAAATATCAGTCTAAATCATTCCTTCCTATAATGTAGGAGATCTATTAAAAAAAACATTGGTTTGAAAAGAAAAAAAGTTTTGCCTAAAGAGGTTATATAGATAATTCAAATTTCTTTCGTTTTATATTAAAACTTTATTTTATATGTAAAATTTGTCATCATTAAAAATTTGTAAATGTATATGACAGATCATTACCAAAAGCAAAACAGTAACAAAGCATACATATACGTTTCATTCCTGCTATACGAATTTAAACCTTATATCCTTAGAATAGAGATGATTACATAAAACGTGAAAAGACAAAGAGATGCTTCACGATTCCTGTCATAGACAAAATACCTTCCAAGCGGCCATATTTAAAACAAAACCTTGACTTGTTTCGGAGCTTGTAGAATAACGTCTTCGTATTAATAGCTTTGAATGTTTGTATGTTTGTTTGTTATATATTCAGACATGTATGTATGAATCTCAAAAAAATTATATTAACATATGTAGTATAGAAAGAAATATTTTTTAAATTCAATGTAGCGTGAAGGATAACTAAAAGACAAAAAGTCCTGGCGAGTATAATGCTATCAATAATATTCAAAATTAACATTTTTGTGACGATACAATGTGATATATAAAAAAGTCTTTTCCTTTAAGATTACGAGAATAAGACTATTTGAGCATTTAAAATAATACATACATATAATACCGATGGTTAATATTTTAAAGAAATTAATAGTGATTATAGAAAATTATCCAATATTCGCTGTGTAATCAAACTTATATTAAAATATATACCTTATAAAAAACTACATTTCATTAAATCATATATAAAATATATTAGAAATATAAACTCATTACTCCTTACTTTCGAAGTTGGTAAAACGTCGTGTAACATTTAGCGTACTATCGCACGTCTTGTAAATGATACGAGCCTTTACAGAGGGGACGAAATCTTTCGTAAATATCTCCAAATTAATGTTCATAGTTATTGGATATTGATACTAGAGATATATTAACACTCCCCCTTCAACATATATCATTAGATTAGCTAACATAACGACTTTATTCTTTTAAATATATAGTTTCATTGTAAGTAGTAAGATATTTAACTTTTTAATGTATTTTCTTGGGAAAGACTAACAATTGGATGTTAATTTCACGATAAGATAGGCATACTAAAGGTTTAAAACACGATTCATATTATCTTTCTTTCGTGTGCAATTAATATATCTTATTAATATTTGAAGTACACAAAAAGATTTATATATTAGAGTGAGGTAATTCATGATAATATTATAATATAATGGAAATATCCATATAAATAAGCCGTTCCTTTAATGTTAAACATTCTGATGCTTAGATCCTGATCATTTTTCATCCACTCGATAAATTCGTTTCCCTCCCACGACTCATGTCAACTTGAGGGTTTTATTCCCATACAAATTTTCCTCTGACTTCCTAGTATACAGATATCTCATATATATCTTTATTATATATAAAAGAAAGTCGTGTTAGTTACACTATTTATAACTCAAGAACGACTGGACTTATTTGGTTGAAAAGAGGTGGAGATATAGCTTAAAACAAAGAAAAGGACATAGGATACTTTTTATAGTATCAAAAAAGAAAAATAAGTTGATAAAATCCAAAACCTTCTAATTTACTGCCTTTAAAGGAGAACAGAGTTCCTGCGGCCATCTATATATTATTAATTCTGAAATTAACGCAGATGAAGTTGTAGGCAAAAACTAGTTTATAAACTTAAATAAAAAAATAATGATATAATGTTTGAGATACAGTTTCAGATTTGTTTTTCAATATTCAGCGTTACTTCCAGTTATTCTACAAAATATCTGAAGCCAGTATAGTTGTCAAATACAAATTGACACTTAATTGTTGATTACAAAATTACAATGGTTCAGTATTGTGATTATAATCAGTCATAAAGATTATTCTAAGGATTATGTGTATTAATTAGAGGTAATACTAAAATGTAACATACATATATATGTTGATAAACAAACAAAAACATAGTTCGTTGCTTCTTCCACTCTAGTAACACAGCTATTACCCTGCCTTCCCCACAAATGTAAGTGTCCCATTGTGCTGTTTCCATTTGTCTACGTGACGAAGGCTCTCCATTGTCACTGCAATTTCGCTACAGTCCGATGTATCAATTAGAGTCGAATCGATTTTAAGCTTGTGTTATTGTTTTCACGTGTATTTTAGTGGATTTATCTATCTATAAGAAATCGAATTCATTTATTTTCTTTCTATACCTCACTAAGAACTTGTATAAAAATTGAAACGCAATAATCAGTATAATCTTTTGTTATAATAGAAAATAATTTAAAGTATATATTTTTTGTACTATTCTGCATTTAATCAATTTACGCCCGGCGCCTGGTAAAGTAATTGTCAATTAAGCTGTCTGATGTACAAATTCTATCTAATGAGAGGTATCTCCGCAATTTTCTTTTTAACAAAATCTTGTATTCCGAAATATACTAAATTCTGTCATTATCAATTTCGTATATTTTTCAATAGTAGTATTAATTTTCTTTATAAACATGTCACAATTTTAGTTACTATACTCCTTCGAAACGACTACTGATTTTTACCAAATTTTATTCAGTAGGTCTGAAAATCGGGTACTATCTATTTTTTATATCCCGAAATGATAAGGGCTGTTCACCCTTAATTTTTTAAGATGATATTTTTAATTTTTTTATAAGTAATATGGCATTAAAAAAGCTCCTATTTTTTTTATATTACAAAACAACGTTTACCGGGTCATCTACTATATACCTATCAAATCGCCAGCTGACTCAACCTAACCCATCAAGTGTCCGACCATACAGAGTTAATTAAACTTCAATTATAAATTCAAAAGTTATTAGTACGTATTAATTAGACTCTTGTCCTATATCACGTCCCATGAATACTCCATCACTGATCCCGTGACCACTTCAACAATGGACAGATTAACCCGAATTAAAATGAGACCTCGTGAAAACAAGCACGCGTGGTACAAAAAAAAATAATAAATAGTCTTAATATGAAGAATTTCATTAATATTATAAATGCGAAGGTAACTCTGTCTGTCTGTTAAGCTTTCACGCCTAAACCACTGAACTGATTTTAATGAACTTTGGTATGGAGATAGAGTTTACCTTGAGAAAGAACATAGGATAGTTTTTATCTATTTGAAAGGTTCTCTTGGAAACGCGATATAAGCGATCTCCACGCGGGCGAAGCTGCGGACGGAAAGCTAGTAACATATATTTTAACAAAGAATAAGTTGGTTTCTAGTATATCCTATCAAAAGTAGATCTTACATGTAATAGATTTTAGATAATAATTCCGTAAACAACTCCTTTTTTTGTTTATACTACTAAAGTGTCAAATGTTTCCGCTACTGCCTGCATCTTAATTTAGTGTATTTGAAGTCTCCCCCTTTCATCCGTCATTAGCGGACAAAGGCTAATCTAACTTGAAAAGCACTTCATCACAGAGATACAGAAATAATCAACACTTGTACAGAAATATGTTTTATTTAGATCCGGCCCGAAGCAATCTAGTGGCGTTATTTTTAAAGTAACTCCTATTACATAAAGAAAAAACATAATATATACTTTGGCATGAAATAATTAGCAAAAAATATAAATATATATAAGATTTCCGGTCGTAAAAACGATAAGCCAAAACTATTCACAACATGTAAGGCAGACCCTGGCTATAGCTGGGATAATTGCCAGGTATATAAAGAAATATATATAAAGTTTAATAGAAATTAATTTAGTAATTTCGTCAATAGTACTTTTTGAATCAAAGCGTATTGAAAATACTGTAATTGATTTCAGAAATTAAACAGTTTTCCAATTATTTGTAATTGCGTTCTACTGTTGTTTCCATGTGTATGTTTAACGCGACGGATAATTATTTCATTTGTACGCTGACTATTTGAAAATAAATCAGTTTGGCATATCCGATATTGTAGCAGAATTAAACATAATATTTAGGCAGCGAGAAATAAGGTATATTTTGATCATTACACAAAATATGTTAGATTAAATTTTATAGAATTTTAAACCACGTATACATATAAAAGAGACTTTATACTAAAATTTTACGTATAATATTCAATCGAGTCATTAGCGTTAAATATAATTGAGTTGTTGCAAGTCTTGCTATATATTTTTGCACTTTTTTTCAATTTGTTTCTCTACCAACAGACCCTTCTTCTTTGTCCTATTTCCAATTGTCCATTGGACGTGCCAGGGTCTGATTGATGGATTCCCAACCCTTTCAATGGCTCTTTAGGGTTTTGATGTTACAATACTTTCGCTAAATAATGATTTCTTTACTAGTATCTTGAATTTAAAATAGATATTTTGTATACGTGATTCAAAGTCAAATTAAACGTGAATGACTTTTAGCATCAAAACAAAGAGTGTGTTGAGATGCATTTGTTAGAACACCTGCGCTAAGATTGATGAGCTCTATTTGAATATAGTTAAACGATTTTAGTTCTTACAGCTCAAACATTACAGCTTACAGACAGCATAAATTCCTGTAACGCATTGTCGTCTTTACTATCCAAGTAATAGGTAACATGTACATGTGTTAACTTTGAAAACAATTCCAATGCACTATCATTTTGTACATCA